AAGTCGTGTGGCCTCTTTGTACATCGAAAGCGCAGTGCTTATAGGCGACAAGTCGCGTGGCCTCGATTTCGACAAGAGGTCTGATTCACACCCGCTGCACTTTTGTGAAGAGCCTCTGGCCGAGTGGAATGGCGGTGCGGCAAGTCGTGTGGCCTCTTTGTACATCGAAAGCGCAGTGCTTATAGGCGACAAGTCGCGTGGCCTCGATTTCGACAAGAGGTCCGCTGCACTTTTGTGGAGAGCCGCTGGCCGAGTGGAATCGGGGGGGTTGTGAAATTTCCTGCCAGCCTTTGTTGTCTGATACTACGGAGGAGTTTGACATCCTGTGGATGGATGATGGTGGTGGGAGGGTGGGTGGTGGGTGGTGGAGGTGGTGGTAGTCAATGGAGCTGAATGGATGAATCTTGTGCATACTACGGCATCTGTTCGTTCCAGAAATTCAAAACTAGTACACCGATGTAAATACTTTTCACATTGGCATCATGGTTGTCCCGGGGGCGGGTCAGTTTATGCATGAGGGTTACCCGAGAGTTAACGAGGGTTACCTGAGGGTTAACCGGGAAGGGTACTTTTAGGCAGGACGTCTGTCCCCGTCATGTGGTGGGTAGGGGGCAGGGGGAGGGAGAATGAGATGATGCAGGTGTTCGGGGGGGGGAAACTAGAAAGGAGAAAGGATAGTGTAGGCAGGGACTTGTTCTTCCCTTGCCATTCGTCAGTCAGGTGATTGATTGTTGTTTGCCGTCTTCTTTCAATGTCGGTTGTTTCAAATTCAATAGTTGTTGTGCATTTGTAGATGTCTGATCGGTTCATTTCTTTCAGTCAAATCCGACGATTGGCTCGTCTTTTCCTTTTCCAGCAGTTGAGTCGACTCTCTCCTGCTCCCGGGTAGGACGATCGATTGATAGGGTGATTCAGGGGCGTACTCGCACTAGCACCGCCGTAAATGTATCTGATGCATTTGCGCCTGGAACTGGATGTATCTGGCCACAATTACGTCCAGAAATAAGGAAAAAAAGTCCTCGTGTGTGTATATGCCCTCTCATTGTAGTTTATAGTCGTATAGAGAAAAAAAGCAGCTTTTTCAAAGATTGGTCGGGGTCGGTCAGGAGGTTCGATTCGTTGTTCCTTAGTGTCTTGTGTGTCTAGTAGGTTCTTCTTCTGTGTCTAGTCTTTTCGTCAGATCGGGTTCGCCTTTGACAGAAAGGGGTCCGTACGTGACACGGAAATTGTACCTTGTGCATTCATTCAGCCTTCTATATTTAGTACGTTCAATGGACCTGGATTCTTTCAACTTCTTTATCAAAAAATTGTTTGATTAAAGAGACAAATATCTGTGCATTGTGTAAAAAACTAATTCGAAATCGGAAAAAAGGGTACGACTCGGGTGCGCACTGTCTCGTTGTGAAGCAATCCGCAATCCGCAATCCGCATCCGCATTCGCAAATGCGGTGTGTGTAACACACGCCGGCCGGGAACTGTCACGGTTCTCTCTTTGCAGCTCAGTCAAAAAGTTAACCTGAAGTCAACGCCGTGCTTTGCCTTTTGGTTCTTCTTTCGACTTCTTCGTTGATAACTCTTCGTCATTCTTCGAGTGAAGACTATGGAGAGTATGTATAGTCACTGTGATGGTTTCGGATTTGGTTTCGGATATGGTTTCAAAGAATTTGAAGTTCGAACGTTCACGGAACATCTCTAAGATGCTGGACGGATCAGCCGGCTCTGCATTTGCCTCTTTCCGTCTTGTGTGTCGTCGGGTGATTGCTCGTAATGTGAGCTATATCTCGCATAATAATCATAATGAGAGTTTGCTTCTTTTTCTTGTGACTACCAACTCGTTGCGACCACCCAAGTGCTTGCCACCGCTTCGTGACTGCTGTCTTCCGGCCGAGTGGAACGTGCCGTCATTTCCACAGCATCTGGACTGAATGGTGGGCCAAATACGGATACAACGACCGTACGTTCTATTCGGGGGGGGGGGGGGAAGGGAAACTGCAGCCTTGCTGTGGGGGGTTTCATCTGGTGGATTACCTTTATTTATTACCGGCCAACCCCAACCTCTCCGAACCCCAACCTCTCCGAACCCCAACCTCTCCGAACCCCAACCTCTCAGCTTCGCTGGGTCTGATCATGACTCTGATGTAATGTTGTGCTGGTGGGATGGCAGTCTTTTGGCAGTCGATCGGCTGCCCAGCTGCTTTGTGAGGACTTGTATAATAGTCTGGACGGGCCAGGGTTGTCGAGCGGGGAGAGAGCAGCAGAGCGAGCTCGTTATCGTGTGAGGGGGAAGAGAGAGGATGGGTCTCGTGGGATATCGTGCGAGGGAGTTGCGCTTATTGCTTGTCACACTGTTGGGTACATGCAGAGGGCGTTCTGGCGGCCGTAGCTGTTTACGATCGACACCAGTGTTGGGGATATTGTGTGAGGGAGTTGCGCTTTTGCAGCAAGCTGTTTACGGCCGACACCACAGTTCATTTAACTAAAATTCTATACTGAAAGGGGGGCAACAGGGAAGCCTGGTAAACATGGCAGGTGGACGGGAAGGCAGTGGGGAGGGGCAAGGGATAGATGTTCCGACCCCTGAGAGGCCTATTACCTGAGCAGGCACTGCCTACGCTGCCCTACAGCAGTTCATTGAACTCCTTCCAGGACTATTAAGGACATTTACAATAGGGCGTTTTTTGGAATGAATCGGGTTGTTATTGTTGTTGTATACATCCCATGGAGCCTGATGGAGGTCTGCTGCTACCATCCGATCCGATATCTGTCTGCGTATGCAGCCAGATGTGGATAGCGTCCTCAATCTCCTTTGCATTGCTTCAAGGATGGGAGTCTGCATGCCGCACAACACTGTCGCCGATGAGGCTTCAACTTTCTGTGCAAAGGGAGCCAGGAGAAGGGGGGGGGAGAGGGAAGGGGACAACAGAAAACAGCAAAAAGAAAGTACGTTTCATGAACCCAAAAAAAAAAAAAAGAAAAAAAAAAAGAGTTTTTTTTCTGATACTTGCAACCGCATGAGCCGCACATTCGTGCGGAGTTGCGTGCGGGGGGAGTGCCTGTGCGGAATCGTGCAGGTTTTTTATTTTTATTTTTATTATTATTATTTTATCTTTTTTTGGGAGGGGGGACGGGGGGGGTATGACAGGAAGATGGGGATATGGCGAGGAGAGGGGATATGGAGAAGAGGAGGATGTGGACGAGGAGGACGGCGAGGATAGCGAGGACGATGAGGAGTCGTCGAGATGGGGGAGGAGAAGAGATGGACGGAGGGAAAAGAGGAACGGCAGGAGGAGGACGAGTGGGAGGAGGAGGAGACATGGACGGCGAGGAAGGGGAGGACACGAGGAAGGGCAGGAGACAAGGAGGCATGGAAGACGAGGAAGTACGAGGAGGAGACGAGAAGAATGAGGAAGGGCAGGAGGAGGACGAGTCGGAGGAGACGGAAAGGAGAAGGGAGGAGGAGACATGGAGGATGAGGTAGGGGAGGAGGAGCAAGGTGAGGCAGCAGTCCTGTAATGTTTTTTTTTTCATCCCGCTTATAATTTTGGCGGGGGCCCTCAAATGCACTGTTTCGACCCCGGCCTTCTGTTTTTTTTGCTGAGGGGTGGTGACGAGTCGTTCCCCGCACACATCGTGCGCCGCACGGGATCGGTTGGCGCCTGCGTTGCACGTAGGGAACCGCCCACACGATGTGCGCTTGCAAGTATATGCTTTATTCTTTCTTATGCTGCTGATGATTTGTGTGAATGATTTTCTAATACCAACGTATGCGATGACAATTGCTGTCGAATATTATGTGTTAATATTAGCGCGCTGCTGACGCAATGGGCTGTTCCTTTTCGACAAGTTTGAAGTCCTATAAACACAGAATAACGTTGGATTTTTCTGTTTTTTTTTTTTTTAATTCCTTTTTTTTTTTTTTCACTTTTGCACTCTGATAACTTTGTGACTATCGTCAAACAGTATGTATCGTTATATACATATATCGTCACAAACAGAACTGCCCGGTAAACCGTAGGCAGAGAGCTGTCTCTTATACACATCTAGATGTGTTTAAGGGGACACAGAATAACGTTGGATTTTTCTGTTTTTTTTTTTTTTAATTCCTTTTTTTTTTTTTTTTTTCTGGAGAACTGCGAAAATCCGATTAAATTTCATTAAAATGTAAAACAATTTTCTTTTAGTTCTGTTGAATCTGTTGTTGAAGTTCAAACTCTTTGAATTTTAATTTTTAAAGTTTAAACCATGGCTACAATCCGGACGTCCGGACCGCGGTCCGGACCGCGGTTCAGACGGTTTGGATTCAGTCCGGACTCCAGACGTCCGGTCTGGAAGGTCTAGATCGCCAAACTTCCAAGGAAAAAAAAAGAAAAGAAGAATGGTCCAGGACCCTTCCCCACTGAGGAGCTGAGCCCCCCAAAACTGTTTTGCGGGTTTTTCAGGTCCGTTTTTATTTTTTTTGAGGGGTCTGGACATGGTCTCTCAGACTCTCTCTCTATAATAATTGATTAGACATACCCATTTTTTGAATTTTTTTCACTTATTAGTAATTCATTATGACCTTTTTTTGAAGTTTTTTACCAGGAAGATTTTTATGCCCGGCCGGGCGCCCGGGGGGGTCTGACGCCTGGGGTACCCGGGCGTGCAAAAAAATAAAATAAAATTTTTTGCCTTTCTGCGCTCTCCCAGAGGACCCCAAATCCGGGCTCTTTTCATTTTTGGAGAGTTGGCTGTCAAGGGGGGCGGAAGGGGGGTATAAATTTGTTTTAAAGGGGCTAAAGGGGTTTTAAAGGGGGGTGCTTTAGTGTGATTAATACTGATTATGTTATTTTCATTTCTCTCTCCGATTCGGTGAGGAATTCTGATGTGACCCATAGCCAACAGTTGTTTGTTATTGCAATTCTACACAACATTTTTTTTTTTTTGGAAATTTTCGACTTTCGTTTTTTTTTTTTTTTTGTGCACTGGGGCTGCCCGGAACCTTGCCTGGGAGTCGTGCCCAGCTGGGCACCCGGGCGTGTATCCGGGCGCAAGTTGGGTGCACAGGTGCCCGGAAAAACAGCCTAGTTTTTTTTTAACTTTTTTATTGTTTTAGAGTTTTATAGGAATTTGGACATGACTGAGGCAAAAGTGGTTTGCATTGTTATTCTGCATAACATTCTCTTTTTTCAGTTTTTTTTAATTTTATTTTAATGGTCGGGACATTTCCGGACCTGCTTACTGGTCCGGACCATCCGGGACTGTGCATCTCCGGAGATCCGTATGTACCCGGAAGTCCGAACCCGACCATGGTTTGAACTTCAAACTGTAAATGCATCGTAACCAATGTAGTAGCAGTGGACTTTTTTTTTTTTTTTTTTTTTTTGTTAAAGGGCGCAGTGCCCAAGGCTGATATTATAGTAGCAGTGGACTAATAAGCAGAGTAAGGGGAGACTCACACTTGGCGCTCAAAATTGCAGAATCGAGCGGCCAGATCCAGTCCTCCTAAATTAAAGAGCTCAATCTGGCCGCTCATTTTGCGACTCTGCAATTTTGAGCGCCAAGTGTGAGTCTCCCCTTACTCTGCTTATTAGTACACTGCTACTACATTGGTTACGATTCGTTTACAGTTTGACGTTCAAACCATGGTTACACCGGACCCGGAGCTGGACCCAGACAGCCCAGATTGAGTTCTTTAATTTAGGAGGACTGGATCTGGCCGCTGATATTGCGATTCTGCAATTTTGAGCGCCAAGTGTGAGTCTCCCCTTACTCTGCTTTTTTTTTTTTTTTTTTTAATCTTTTTTTTTTTTTTTATTCCACTGCTACTACATTGGTTACGATGAGTTTACTGTTTGAAGTTCAAACCATGGTTACACCGGACCCGGAGCCGGACCCAGACAGCTGATGCCCGGGGACGGTCGGGTTCGGACTTCCGGGTACATACGGATCTCCGGACATGCACGGTCCCGGATGATCCGGACCGGTAAGCAGGTCCGGAAATATCCCGACCATTAAAATAAAATAAAAAAACTGAAAAAAAAGAATGTTATGCAGAATAACAATGCAAACCACTTTTGCCTCAGTCATGTCCGAATTCCTATAAAACTCAAAAACTATAAAAAAACTAGGCTACTCTGAGAGCCTAATGTGAGTGTGGTAATATACTCTTTTAACTGTTGCAACAACGAACACCCATTACGTCTTTTTGTTGCAACAGTTACTCTGCTTGTGCAATCACTTTTCCGGGTTTTCCCTCCATGTTCCATGTTGCTCCAGTTTGCTTGAGAACTCTGCACAGATTTGCAGACTTCAGTTGAAGTCCACCGCCGACACTGAATCTGGTTATTGATGACGATTAAACCACCACTACATCCAATCCTCTTTTTTGCTGCGGCGGATTTGACTTTGCACACCAAGCTTTAGTAGTAACTGGATCCGTACATCTGGGCTTCAGTCCTCCTTCGTGCACGCACGAATTCGAACCAGCGACCTCGGCCTCAAGAGCCAAGTCTCGTGACCACTACAGCCAAGACACGGTGTTCAAAAGTGGAACCATACCGGTCATGATATCCACCCCACCCCTGCAAGGCTGTAGTGTCCAACTCAACACACACCACAGAAGTGGAACCATACCTGTCGTGATATCCACCCCATCCCCTGCAAGGCTGTAGTGTCCAACTCAACACACACCACACTCAACTCCAAACGGCAATTCACACGCACTTCGCTCCAATCAGCACGCACCCCCCACTGGGGTACTTAGCCGGTTCACTTGTCGAAAGGTTAGCGGGGCTTTTTTTTTTGTTTTTTTTTTGTCTCCATTTGGCCGACGCCCAGCCATTTTGGTCCGGTAGCACTGTTCATCCGAACTTTCCGGAATGAATCCTTTCCGGTTCTTAAGTTTGCCTGGGCAATGTACTTGTGGCTTAAGTTTTCTTCTTCTTGTTACTAATGACGGTTCTGGTTCTGGTTATCGATAAAGGTTCTGGTTCTGGTTATGGATGGCGGTTACAGTTCTCTCTCGCTCTCACTCTCTCTCTTTGTCTCTTTCACTCTCTTTCCCTCTCTCTCTCTCTCTCTCTCTCTCTCTCTCTCTCTCTCAGGTTACGATTCTGGTTGTGGATGGTGGTTATTCTCTCTGTCTCTCAGGTTACGGTTCTGGTGGTGGATGGTGGATATTCTCTCTCTCTCTCTCTCTCTCTCTCATAGGTTACGGTTGTGGTTGTGGATGGTTGTTATTGATGACGGTTATGGTGGTGGTGATGAATTGCGATTATGGGTTTGGTTAATTAATGGCAGTTAATGTTCTGGTTATGCCTGGCGGTTACGGTTGTGGTTATGGACGGCGATCATGGTTGTGGTTACGGATGGCGGCTACGGTTCTGGTTATGGATGGCGATAACGGTTTTGGTTGTGGATGGCGGTTCTGGTTCTGGTCATGGATCGCGGTTACGCTTCTGGTTATGGATGACGGTTATGGCTGTGGTTATGGATGGCGGTTCTGTTTCTGGTTATGAATGGGAGTTATTGTTCTCGGTATGAATGGCAGTTACGGTTCTGGTTATGGATGGCAGTCACGGTTCTGGTTGATGGATGGCAGTTACGGTTCTGGTTATGGATGGTTTGGTCTGGTTATTGACGGTGGTTATGGTTCTCAGACTGGCTATCGATGGTGATTTTCTCGTCATGAATCGTGGTTATGGTTGTGGTTAACGGATGGCAGTTAAGGTTCTGGTTGTGCATTGCTGGTTACGGTTCTGGTTATGGATTGCGGTTATCGGTGGGGGGATTATAGGTCCTCTTTTTGTGACTATTATGGCTAAAATAAAAGGGCATGATGGTGGGGTGATTGACAGGACGGAGATGAAGGATGATCGAGTCGTGTTCATGGAGGGTGAAAAGAGTAAGAGTGCTGACGGTTTAAAAAAAAAAAAAAAAAAAAAAAAGGGTTGGACCAACGGGCCCAGCTTAGTGTGTACACCCAATCAACCGTGTGAAATATAGACCCAAGTTAGAATCCAGATGTGATCAGATGAACGAAGTAAAATAATTCTAAATCATTGGAGATGGTGTGTTCATCCGTGAGTTCATCATTGGAACTGACAGATGTACTCATCATTGGAACTGTCAGTTCCAATGACGAGTATGCCCTGATATACTGCGAGATGGTGTGTGGGACAATATCACATACAGTATGTCCCACAGTCCCAGCTTCTGAAGTTTGTGCCTGTGGGTCCTGCGGTGCTCAGAACTCTTCAAAGTTCCTGAACCTGCCGTTTTTACCGAAGTGTCCCAAAGTGTCCCAAAGTGTCCCAAAGTGTCCCAAAGTGTCTTTCGAACACAACCATATGTCATCGACACACTTTCACACATGTTGGGAAATTCGATACCTTTTTTTTTTCTTTTGAGAATAATTCCTGCATGTCGGAATATGATCTGGAATGCTTACTGTCGTTCTGACTTTATGAAACACTTTCACAGCAAGTGGGACCATCTGGGACAAGTGGGACTGTCGAGCATTTTGAAGAATACTGCTTGCCAGTGCACTCTTTCAGACACTGGGACACAGTGGGAATAAATATCCGGAAGTGTCTGAGGGTGGCATCCCAGGCGTGTGCTTGCACTACCATCTTCACCCGAATAGAATGCCCGGTCATTATAGCCCGCATTCGGTGCAACTTTCGTTCCACTAGTAGATACAGTGATGATAACCCGGCGTTCTATTCGGGCGAAGACGGTAGGACTTCCTCTCGCCAGCCGCTCTACCGTCTTCACCTGGGGAATAGAACGCCCGGTCATTATAGCCGCATTCGGTGCACAACGACGGTAGGACTTCCTCTCGC